GGGAGTTGAAGTCCAAAACACCTGAAGGCCCAAAGGTTGGGAACAACTGCTCACCATAGAATTAGACTGGAAGTCATAGAAATGCCCCGAGGAACCATTTTGTTTCCAGTTACATGTAGGAGCAATCTGTAAAAAATCAAATCTATGGATGTTTAACCCATCAATATAGATGGACCACTGGAGGCATATGGCAAGTTCAGAGAAGAGCAAAAAGGATGGTAAGAGATACAGAGAACAAAATATACAAGGATAGTTTGAGATAGTTGGGCATGTTCAGCCTGGTGCAAAGAAGATGGGATAAGAGGCAGAGTTGAATTGGACATTCAAGTCACGATCCCACCTGCATCGCAAGTGCGTTTGGTGGGAATGAGGGACAGGGCCTTCTCTGTGGTGGCCCCTCAAGTCTGGAACTCTCTCCCCAAGGACATCAGACAAGCCCCAACGTTTAGAAAGAACCTGAAGACCTGGCTGTTCCAGTGTGCCTTTCCAGATTAGGAAACTCCAGGCATCATGTCCCAAATGCACTTTGTTAGAGACTAGGATTGTCTGCACATTGCACCTACTTCCAAAAAACCTCTACATACCTCCTGTCAAGTTCAGCCCTTTTAAATTTTATCCATTACATTTGGCCTGGCCTTTAGGTTTTTAAATGCATCATGGTGCCATTGTTTTTAGTGTTTTATTGTTTTGCTTGATGTTTTATTATTTGCTTATGAGTTTCACTGTTATATTTGTATGTTGTTGTTTCTTGGCGGCCTTGGCCATTGTAAGCCGCATCGAGTCCTTCGGGAGGTTTTTGCGGGGTATAAATAAAGATAATAATAATAATAGAAGGAACTTCTTGATGATAAGAACTATTTATCAATGGAACCAACAATCTAAAGAGGTAGTGGGGTCTCCTTCTGCAGACATCTTCCGAAAGAGCCTCAACAGTCATCTGCTGGGGAATGCTGGAGATCCTGCACTGAGCAGAGGTTGGACTTGAAGGCCCATGAGTCCTTCTTCCAACTCTATAACTCTATTGTAATGCCTTCACATCAGATCTTAAGAGTGAGTTTCCATAAACAAATCACCGAGAGACCTCACTGTGTTTTCACAAGAGGAAAGAAGCCCTTACCTTTTGATGCAGGAAGTGATGCTCATATTCGCTCAGGTTTCTGCCGTCCAGCAACACTTGACCTTTCTGGGGCTCATAGAACCGTTCCAAGAGGGCCACAATGGTGCTCTTCCCAGACCCCGACGGGCCCACCAGGGCAGTCACCGTCCCAGGATGCAGCTCCAGGGACACCCCCTGAGGAGAAGGGACAAGGTGAGAATTGGGGAAGGGGGAAGTAATGTCCCATTCCAGGCTCTGGACTTGGTGGTTTCTTTCTGTGATAGATGGCCTTTAGCCATCATGAGAACCACCAAGGACTCCAGGCACAGTTGAATTGCAACTCCCAGCATTTTTACCACTAGCTGGGGCTCCTAGGAGTTTCAGTCCAATAACATCTAAAAGATTGCACTTTGTAATATCTCACTTGTTCCAGTTATTTTATTTTGTATTTATCCCATCTTTTTCCTCAATGGGACCCAAGTTGACTACAATCAAAAATGCATCCATTCCAAGCAGTTTTATAACAATTAAACAACACGTTACATTAAAACATTAATACTTGTTATATAAAATATGAGGAGAATAGTAAAAGTAAGTATAACTCGTCACCCCATTGAAGACCTTTTCAAATAGCCATTGCCCCACATTACCGTGTTTCCCCGAAAATAAGACACTGTCTTATATTTATTTTTCCTCCAGAAGACACAATATGACTTATTTTCAGGGGATGTCTTATTTTTATTAAGTACTAACTTGGGGACCTGGCAGTGTACGGGTTATTTGGGAAAGACATTGTTTGTCTGTGCTCCAAGTTTAGTCTAGATCCAAGGTCAGATGAATTCAGTGGGTATGGGTGAACTACAACTCTCATATGCAAGTCCCATGATCCATCCTCCTCCAAACCACACCACGATGCATAGTGGGTCATGTGGGCTATGTGTGCCAAATTTGGTTTTGATCAGTCATTTGTGTGGGTTGCAGTAGTCTCAGGAAGTGAGTGACGGTATTGCAAGTCCCATGGTACATTCTCCCCCAAACCACAGCAGGATATAGAGTCGGGCTCTGTATACCAAGTTTCGTCATGATCCGTCATTGGTGGGGGTCACAGTGGTCTTGGGAAGTGAGTGAAGGTATTGCAAGTCCCATCATCCATGATCCATCCTCTGCCAAACCACACCAGGATGTAGAGTGGGGCTGCCACATACATAAATACACCACCCGCCCGCCTGCCCCATACAAACTTTGACTTTTATTATAGACTAGCTTGGGGCCCTGGCACTGCCTGGGTTATTAGAGAAAGTGGATAATGGCGGTTCTGTGTGCCAGGTTTGGTCTTTATTGGATAAGGGTCGCATTGTTTTCAGGTACTGCAAGTCCCATCACCCGTGGTCAAGCGTCCTCCAAACTGCACCAGTATGTAGAGTGGGTCATGGGGGCTCTGTGTGCCAAGTTTGGTCTGTATTGGTAATTTTCTGACACAGCCTCAGGCCTTTTCCTTTCCTGTCACCTCAGAATGTTGGAGTTTTGAGGCTGCCCAATCAGAGACCATATGCAAATTGTACCACAGTGGCAGCCAATCAGAACGCTGCCACATACACCTCCCTCCTGTCCCCCCTCCACATACAAACACTGACTTTTATTATATACATAGATAGATATAGATATAGATAGTACAACTATCTGCATTTATGGGATGATCTCTCCGGGCTCAGTAGCAGACCGCTTGATGAAGCTTTTCCCCTCTCCCCTGGTGTTTGTGTCAGGTGAGAGAGACCCACAGACTGATGCTGGTCAGTGCTGGAGAGCAGCAGCTTTACTGGGGTTTGTGGGGGGGGGGGGTGAGAGAGACCCACACTGTTGCTGGTTGGGGCTGGGGGAGAGAGACCCCCAGTACAGAGTAAAATGGCAGCCACAGCTTTACTTCTTTCCCTGAGGACTCACAATACCTAAAGCAGTGTCCTGCTCCTCACTTCACGGAGGAGACTTTTACTTCTACTTTCTATGTCTCCCTCTATGCCTCAGCTTGCAACACGCACAGAATGACTGGGACCTGACAGGGAGAGATGACCTTGTATGCTGCATAGCCACATCTATCACTATGTCTTATTTTGGGGTATTGCTTATATTGTGCAAATGCTTAGAAATCCTACTACATCTTATTTTATGGGTATGAATTATTTTCAGGGAAACAGGGGTACCTTCAAATAGTCTTTCCCCACATTACCTTCAAGACAAGAGAATTGTCCCGGTCAGGATAGGAGAAAGACACCTCCTTCAGCAGTACGTGTCCCTGCAAATCTTTGGGAGCCAAGGTGCCGGAGGGGCTGATCTTGGGCATACGGTCGATGTATTCGAAGACCTTCTCCGAGGAACCAATGGCCTTTTGGACTTTGGGGTAAGAAAAGAGGAGGACCTGGCAGGGAGAAGAACACAGATGCTCTGCAAGGAAGGAAGCATTTGCAATGTTCTCGATGTTCGCTTACAATGTGCTCTACTTCTCAATAGCAACAAAAATACTTAGTTTTCCAACACAAAAAACAACAACCCACCCTTGCAAACCAAGTATGCAGCCTGGCATGAAAAGTGTTGAGGCTGCTCTCTCAAATATCCAAACAAGATTTAATGCTTCATGTAAAAGCACATCCCTCTCATTAGTCTGCAAATTTGCTTTCATCTTCAAGAAATGGTCAAGTGATAATCTACATAAAGGCATTTTTATTTTATTTTTATTTTGGGTTTTTTATGAATACTCCCATTAGAAAATGTATAAAGATGTGGGTGAATTACAATTTCCAGAATTGTTAGTCAATCCTTCCCAAACCCTGCCATTACTTAAAGTTGACCATATTGGGTTTGTGTGCCACGTTTGGCCCAGATCCGACATCAGCTGGGTTCAGTGTTATCTAGATAAGGGTGAACTACAACTCCCAGATTCCCAGGAAAGGGTTGGAAAGGGTTTGCTACAGGAAAGGGCTTGAAAGAGTTAGGGGAGAAGCAGTGGATGGGGTCATGCAAATGAAGAGAGAAAGGAACACTGGGATGTGCTCGCTATAACCTGCAATGTCATTGGAGAGAGTGGCTTACTGGCTTCTCAGCACTGGGAACAATAGACTGTTTGTGGAGACCAGAGGCTGTCGGTGAATGGACACTCCTGCCACATACACACATACAGATTTTCACTTTTATTATGTGTATAGATAATACCTGGGATCACATAAAAATTTGGGCAAAAAGAGGTCATAAGTGGGAAAAGTATAAATAAAAAACCAATGGGAGAAAAAAATGAATGAAGCCAAGAGTGTTTGAGGAGACCAGGACATCCGCAGGGAGACCAAGGTGCTTGTTTATAAAGCTAATGTCTTCCCAACCATGTTATATGCCTGCGAAACGTGGACTGTCTACAGATGTCACGCTCAACTCCTAGAATGATTCCATCAGCGCTGCCTCCAAAAAATCCTGCAAATCTCTTGGGAAGATAGGCAGACAAATGACATCGTGCTGGAAGAAGCAAAGACCACCAGCACTGAAGCGATGGTCCTCTGCCATCAACTCCGCTGGACTGGCCACATTGTCTGAATGCCCAAAGATCACCATCTCCCAAAGCAGCTACTATACTCTCAACTCAAGAACGGAAAGCATAATGTTGGTGGACAGGAAAAGAGATTGAAAGATGGGCTTAAAGCCAACCACAAAAACTGTGGCATAGACACCGAGAATTGGGAAGCCCTGGACGTTGAGTGCTCTAACTGGAGGTCAGTTGTGACCAGCAGTGCTGTGGACTTCAAAGAGGCATGAAGGGAGGGCGAAAGGGAGAAATGTGTCAAGAGGAAGGTGCACCAAGCCAACCCTGACCAGGACTGTCTTCCACCTGGAATCCGATGTCCTCACTGTGGGAGAGCATGCAGATCAAGACTAGGACTCCACAGCCACCTAAGGACCCACCACCAAGACACTACGCTTGGAGGACCATCATCCTTGGACAACAAAGGATCGCCTAAGTAAGTAAGTAAAGTAAGTAAATTGTTAAAGGGCAAAAGCTTGTGGCATATTTATCCATCAGACCTAGTTCGCTGTATGGGTGAACAAGTTTGCCTGCACACAACATGGATTCTGATTACATTCTTCTTCAAAAGGTCCCTCCACCCTGTCCCATTCATTGGCTCACCCGCACTGATGAGGAGAACTCCATCTCATACAGAAGAAAGGTGACAAGTTTGCCACTGGTCACTCGTCCCAGCGTGACGAGCTGGCCACCATAATACAGGATGCCAGCTTTGAGGGCCAGTTCTAAGAGCTGCAGGGCAGAAAATGGAGGTTAGGTCTCAAATACCAGACTTCCACTAAATCCCAGATACTCTTACACCACAATTGTGGGGGAAAGGACACTGCTCTCTATGAGGACCCAGGACGTACATTGCTGGTCCACATGTTGACCGCGTAGGCCCCAGCCTCCTTCTTGCTGAGCTTGAAGGTCTCCTGAAGCTTCTCCTCATAGCTTCGAGCCGCACCATCCTCGTTTGCAAAGCTGCGGACAGTCAAGATGGACTCGAAGTTCTCCACGGCCACCTCGTTGGCTTTTGCCAGAGACTCCTGGACCTCCCGTGCCAAGCGCTGGAAAAGAAGAATCAACGGATCACAACTTGGTCAACCAAAGCATGTGTACATCTGCTATTATCCATGGTTTTGTGTAACTCCAAGAATGAATTCCCCCACTGATTCCACTGTAGGGTGAAGGACCCAGCATGTTGAATCTAAATGACCGCTGTAATTGAAGGCTAACACCACCCGCATGCTTCTGCCTGGGTACCCACCTGGTGAAATTTCCCCGTGAGCTTTGGCAGCAAGAGGATGAAAGGCAAGGCCACAGTGGCAAAGAGAGCCAAGGGTACCGAGAGCCAGAGCATCATGCCGTAGAGGAAGACCCCCCGCATCAGGTACCACATCAGCAAGCTCATATCATGGTTCAGCGCCTCACTCATGGCGTCCGTGTCGGATGTCACTCGGGAAGTGATGTCCCCTGTGGTCAAGGAAAGAAAGGGTCACGCAATAGCAGAGTTAAGATCAGGATGGAGAATGTGATATCTTCATTTCCTCCCTGCCTGCCCTGTTTTCTCTTCATGTTGAGGGTCACCACTATTCCTTATTTATTTATTTTTATTTCATATCAAAAGCATTGCATACATTTGTATAAAACTGATAAAAATAGAAGCAGCACAAGCGACTAAATATCATTTGACCAAAAACAGGCAATAACAATGACATTGTCTGTAGCCTCCAACAATTCTTCCTCTGTACATGAGGCAAGGCACAGTGGACAAGCATACAGATGCGGAGTTGTCTGTTCTTGGGTCTGGAATCCTAGGCCCAAGCAATCCAAACAGGCATCGTTAGCACCTGCTGCATTTAGCAGTATTTTTATACCACCAGTCCAAAGAAGAACAGAAGCTTTTGGCCAGCCTAAGCTTCACAGGAAAGAAGATTAAGACAATGTATTGTCGAAGGCTTTCATGGCTGGAATCACTAGGTTCTTGTAGGTTTTTTCGGGCTATAGGGCCATGTTCTAGAAGCATTTCTCCTGACGTTTCGCCTGCATCTATGGCAAGCATCCTCAGAGGTAGTGACCTCACTACCTCTGAGGATGCTTGCCATAGATGCAGGCGAAACGTCAGGAGAAATGCCTCTAGAACATGGCCCTATAGCCCGAAAAAACCCACAAGAACCTAAGATTAAGACAGTTTATAAGCAATAACTTGTAATCCATCGCTTTGCATCAGATGATTCCAGATAGATCACTGCAACCAGCAAAATCTCTTTTTGTAATGTATTATTTTAAGTTATCTTATGACAGTCCCAGGTGGAGTTAACCCTTTATTCATCTTGTTTTCAGTAAACTCATTTTGGTTATCTTTTCACCTTGCCTAAAGTGCCTCTGTCTGTTAAGCCAGACAATATAGTTTTCCCAAAGGCTCAGACGTGCCATCACAGGGAGATAGGGACAGGATATAAATAAATATAAAT